TCTGAAAAAGTGTTCTACTTACACTTTTTTCAAGACAGCTGAACAACTCAAAACATGTTGTTTCTTTCCTTGCAGCCCCTGGAACTTGCCACTTGATTTGCAAGTGGCTGGAGTGGTATGCCCAGCCATTAGACACGAAAGCAGACTCAGGGTGCTACACTACGCTTTTTTAGGGCCCTGGACTACACTCCAAGGGCTGCTTATCCCTTCCCTGCTCCTGCAAGTTCCATTGTTGCCAGGTGGAAGCTGTGGGCATCCAAGCTTCGCTCCCCAGAACTGCAGACCCCACACCCCTGCGTGTGAGCCAGAGTGATCTCCGCTAACCCCACTCTGCTTGCCTGCTTCATGTGCTCAGTGGCGCCTCTGGGCTCTGAGGGTGAAGTTGGGGATACAGCACCATCCATCTGGTTCCCATGTCCCCCTGCCACCCCCACTCCGATCCACACTCGGGCTCCTCTCCCTGGATGTTCTGAACCCTGCTCCCTCCCTCCCCGGGTGCTTTGTGTTCCTCCTGTCTGCTCTTTACCCAGTGGACTCAGACGCAGCCTTGGGAGCTGAGCTCCAGAAACCTCTTTCCCTGGTTGTCCTCTGAAACTCAAGTCGGGCTCTTTCTCTCTTCCCCTCGTTATCTGCACTTCTGATCTTAAAGCAGTCCAGTTCGCACGCACCCTCGCCCCATAGACTGTGCTCCAACAGAGTGCAGACCTCACCTGTCAGCACAGCCTTTGGGACCGTGCTCAGTCTTCAAAGAACGAGGAAAGACTAGCTCCCCCCATACACACTCCATGCTGTTGTCCTCATCTCTGCCTTCACTCTGCTTCACTGGAGTGTCCGTGAAACAAGAGCTTTAAGAGACCCTTGAACAGCCAGTTGTGGTGGTACACTCTGGGAGTGCATTCTGGGAGGCTGAGGCAGGAGGATCTCAAGTTTGAGCCCAGCTCAGGCAACTTAATGAGACCTCGTCTCAAAACGTTTCAAAAGGGCTGGGGGTGTAGCTCAGTGTGAAGGCTGTAGGTTTCCAATCCCCAGTACGGGGCAGGGTTTGGGGGACAAAGACAGAGAGAGAAAGTCGTGAGGGTCTTTTGGTCTGGGTGAAGGCTGAGCTGTGCCTCCAGATGAAGGTGTACTACCTGCTTCTTTGAGAGCAGTTCTAGATCATCTGATGTTAGTTCTTTGGTTCTGTATTTTAAGAACTGCCTCATTAGCCGTGGATAGTTCTTCACAGCCTGATGTCTGATACCTTGAAGATCACTGGCTCATATATTCTGTCCAAGTGCCTAACTGTTTCACACAGGGAGGACGCTTCAGTCCCTGCGCTGTCTTGACCCAAAGTGGGGAATCATTCTTGGAGTCCGATTTTCATGGTAGTGGAATTTGGCTGCTCATAAAAGCCAGTGGCTTACATGATTCTCTAGGACAGTTATTTCCAATGTCGAATGTACATGAGAATTGCCCAAATGACTTGTTGAAATGCAGACACTTAGAGGTTCTGATTTAGCTGTCCTGAGGGAGATGGGGCCGGAGACTATGCATTTTGATGTGTTCCTAGATGATAAAAATGCTGGTCCAGAAATCATACTCTGAATACCAACCAGTGCTTTTACATACAGATTTGCAAACTTTTGCTTTTCATTTCCCCGCTTATACTGGGGCTTGAACCTTTGTACTAAGCTACATCCCCAGACTTTTTTATTTTATATTTTGAAATAAGGTTTTGGTAAGTTGCCCAGACTGGGCTGGAACTTATGATCCTCCTACTTCAACCTCCCAGAGTGCTGAGATAGAGGTGTGCAAAAAAATTTCTGTAAAGAATTAGTAGAGTTAGGAGCCATGGTTCCTCCTGCCACAAGTTAAATCATCTGCTGGAAACATCAGGCCATTGGCGCCTGCCGAGAGACTCAGATTCATTGATGTGGTCACTCAGCTTCTTGAATCCCCATTTTTCTGCTTTTAGGAAACCAGCTCCCCAGCATGGGGCACATGGAGTCCTTAAGAGACCTGAATTGGAGGGAACCTTCAGCCTTGATCTAGTGTTGAATTTGGGACTGGACAGCATCGTTCTTCTAAGCCCGCACGTCTTTGAGCCTGAGAGCAGCTGTGGTGTCTGCTCTGAAAGAGGCAGAAGGCTCTGAGTCTTTGGATGAAACATGTTTTTGAAGCAGCACCCGTGGCTTGGGGAGGATGTGTTCTATTGTTAAAGGGTGCGTGTGCACCATACCACCTAACCCTAGCTCTGAATGATGAGAAAGGATGCAGCTTTGTTAAAAGTATCCAGAAGTTAGTGGGCATTTTACCAGGCTATAGATCAGGGTTACTGTGTCAGTCACTTAAGCCTTCTGCATATTATGCTGTAGAAAGGGGTTGCTGCTCCCTCTCTGGTCTGAATTCCAATTGCTTCTCCCCTCCTCCTGGGCTCTTTGACCATCCAGATCTCACTCCACCCTACTGAATGTGTTTCTTGCCTGCAACAGCATTAGACTGACCTTGAAGGCCAAAATGAGGATCCGCAGTGCAAAGACCAATACTTGTCACCCACCTAGTGGGTCTTCAAAAGTACCGAGTTAATGAAAGTCAAAGCAAAACTCAGAACCCAATTTATATTACAAAAGAACTGAATACATGGCAAGTCAAAATATGTTTCCTACCAAGCACGGTGGTGCTCACCTGTAATCCCAGGGAGGCCGAGGCAGGAGGATCGCAAGTTGGAGCCCAGCGTGGGCAACTTAGCAAGACTCGGTCTCAAAAAATCTGGCGATATACCTCAGTGGGAAGGCCCTAAGTTCAATCCCCAGTACCATGCAGTAAAAGAAAAAGTCTTCCAAAGCAGTGCTGTATGATGACAGAATAGAGTCTACATTGTCCATCAGCATGGCCACTGTAATAAGTGACAACCGCACATGTGAAATGTGGCCCATGAAACTGCAGACCTGTGTTTTTCCTTTCAGGTATAAATAAGGTGGGCGTGACTAGCCAGATCTGCTACTGGCCACCTTTTTGCACAGCACAATGCCAAGGCCACCCATCTCTGTCCCACAAGCACCAGACACAGCTGCGTTAGACAAGAAAGCGGGCTTCGTGTTGTCCTTAGCACCATGGTAGAGGCCACGTGTGGGGGAGGTTGTGAAGGATGCAACACACACAGGTCTGTCCCTCTGTGCATATGGAACATGTCGAGGTCAGGGATTCAGGAGTCTGGAGAGAATTTGGACCCCGTTACTGTCCTTTCACCTCAGTGTCTAGAAAGTCAGGTGACAAAACAAGATTGAGCTCCTACATCCGTGGTCACCAATGCCAAGTGTCTATGCCTCTTTAAGATACCGACTTGCTGCTGAACTTTAACCACACTGTGCAGTGGTTTCCATTTTATGAGGTTTCCTAAATTGGCTCGAGAGTGGGTGATCTTCCTGAAAACAGCTGGTCGGACACCTTCGAAATAAAAGGAAGAAGAAGTGCAGGCTAAGAATTAAGACGCGTTATGTCCATGAACCAACTCCCCACAGGGAATGTAATCGTTATGCGCCACAAACGTATACTAATATGAATAAATATTAAGAAAGGGAAGCGCGGGCTTCTTATGAAGCCCTGATACTTTTTATTTTCCAATGAACTAAAGAGAGATCTGGTAAAGGAGGTAGCCGTCATGTTCTGTGGTCAATTTTAAGAAAATACTGTTGATCCCCGTGGAAGAGTTCACCTCTGGTGTTTTAGGCTGGGTTTGCATTCTCTGGATACTTTGAAGACCATTTGGGGCAAAGAAATGGAACTGGATTAATTAGATGGCCCTAAAGTGATGCACTTGATTGATGCATTTAAAGTTCAATCTCCCTGACAAGCCAGTCACTTAGGTTCTAGAGAATGGGAGGTCAGGAAGGTACTGACATTGTCCCAAGGCCAGCACTGGTGTACCAAGACAGCAATGTCCACTGTGAAAAATGTCACCTACCTCTGCCCATCAGAGAGGCCTTTGTGGAAATCTCAAGTAAGCATTTATTTTTAAAATGAGTAAGAGTCTCATCTTTGCAAGATGAAGAGTGAAGTATGGTTCTGTCTCCTTCATTTCACTTCATGGATGCTCATTTTGTCTTTCTTCTTCTTCTTCTTCTTCTTCTTCTTCTTCTTCTTCTTCTTCTCCTCCTCCTCCTCCTCCTCCTCCTTTTCCTTTTCTCCCTTCAAGTACTTAAATATCACCCACCAGATCTGGGCTCTGACTCTGGACATGTGCGTCGGGGAAGGGGACATATGGCAGCGGGGGGTGGGATGCTGGGGGAGGAAGTGGAGGAGGAGGATTGTGAATGGAAGTGCTTGTGCTGCCTGGGCTGGGCGGGGGGAAGCATTTTATTTTTCAAAGTGGAGGTAATTTCTGATACCAATGAGAATGAAACAAATGGGCCCAATTGAGTGGATCTTGGCAACTTTGAACTTCACTGAGCTAGGGACCCAAGTATCTATTACCTTTCCAAAGTGACCACATTGATATTTTTCCAAACCCAGTGACAGTATAATTACTGTACCAGATTCTTCCACTGTCCCAAGAAGTCGGGGGCTTGGGGACAGTTGTGGCCGCTATAGCAATGGATGTATTATGACTCTAGAAGGCTAAATTTGGAGAAAACCTGGAAGTTACTTTTCTCCTCAGAGCTGCAGTTCTCTGGCCACTCTCCTTGGCTTTGTTAGTGGAATGTCACTTGGGCATCATCACTTGGGTGGGGTCCCTTCATCCCTGCCAGTGAGGAAGCTCTAGAATCATGATGGACTCCATAACTTTCACTCGCTACCCTTCCAGACTCTGAGCAAATTCCCTCCTGAAGACTCAGAGTCTTCATGGCCCCACAGTATGCACGGCCATGGGAAGTACCCCGGGGTGTGGGGACATTGAGGTATCAGCCACAGAACCTGAGTGGGAAGATAGAGAAGCAGAGCCTTCATGTTCTTTGGCAGAGTTCATGAGGCCACAGGCATCCTTGCCCATCACGGCTGCCTTTTCTCTCCTTTGGGTCCAGGCTGCTTTGAATGCTGCATCAAGTGTCTGGGAGGAGTCCCCTACGCCTCCCTGGTAGCCACCATCCTGTGCTTCTCCGGAGTCGCCTTGTTCTGCGGCTGTGGGCATGTGGCTCTGGCGGGCACCGTGGCAATTCTTGAGCAACACTTCTCCACCAACACCAGTGACCATGCCTTGCTGAGCGAAGTGTAAGTATCTGCAGCCCCTTAAAAGTGTGTATGAAGTGAGGCAGGATGGTACCCGCATTTAATCCCAGTACTGAGATGCAACCACCCAGCAACGTTTTCCTAAAGACGACCACATGCTCTCCTGGCAGACAACTGATGCTTTTAATTAAAGGTCGCTTTGTGCAGATAGAAAAAGTCCACAAGGAAAGGAAACAGAAATGACCAAGCATGTGGCAGTGTATGGGCTCCAGGTGCACACATGGGGTGCTTCACACAGTAGACACAGACCTGGAGTGTGACAGGGTGACAGGGTGACAGGTTGATGCTGCTGATCTGGTTTTCTCATAGGAAGTGACCATCCCTAGTGACAGCCCCACTGAGGGCTAACCCCAACTCTGTGCCTTCAGGAATAACATTTAACATAAACTCTTCTGACAGAAGAACAAATTCTAGAGCACCCTCTATTGCAGTAAAGGGGAAATTCGGGATTTAGCCCCAAATCTCTGCATTCCCATTCTGGAATAGTTCTCACCAGCTTCCAAGAACAGTCTCCTAATGAGAAAAAATCTGAAGCAATAGATTTAGTTCCTTCAAATATCTTCCCTTTCTCCCATTCCTTTAGCATTTTCATTTTCCTTCCTTTAATCCCAAACCTTCAGAGTGTTTATGTGATTTGGATATTGTAAAAAGTTTCTCTATTACAGTAAAAAAAAAAAGCAAGAATGAATTTTTATGCAATAATTGTGAAACGAAGAGGGGCTGGGGAGGTTCTAAGGGAGGGATCAAACCAGAAAAGGGGCTCAAGTGCAAACTCTGGGTGGAGAAGGGCTGTTTAGCAAGGTGGAACCTGGGAAAGGTGTGCTGATTTCATTTCAAAGTGATGGCGTTCCAAAAGGAGCTCAAATTGCTGAGAAGCTTTAAAAAAATGCCCATTCCTCACACAAGACCAATGAAGTCATAATCTCTGGGCATGAGATACATCCAGGTGCCAGCTTTTACAGTTTCAATGGGCAGTTGAAAATCCTTTCCTGTCACCTGGGTCTGTGTCCACTGCCGCAGGACAAACTTACTTGTGAATTAATTTTCTGTAACTCTTGAGGCACACACCTGTAATCCCAGCACTTGGGAGGCTGAAGCAGGAGGATTGCCTCAAGTTTGAGGCCAGCCTGGGCTACATAGTGAGTCCAAAGCCAGCCTGAACTACACAAGTAAAAGCCTGCCTCAAAAAAAACCACTTGACATACTATTGTTTATGTATAGGGATCTCATTGCAAAGCCACCTGCCCATGTTACTTCTTGAAGAGGACCTGAGTGCATGCTTAGTTTCATCTGAGTGACATTAACCACCAGGTCTGTCCTGGAAGTCTTTGGATATGGCAGAAACATGCTGTCCATTGAGCTGTAGTTCAGATGCTGGCTCTGTCACCGAGCATCCTTGGATGAGTAACTTGACTCCTCAGTGCCTGTGTTCTGCACAAAATGAGGATTCTGCCTTTCATTGCTCAGGACCAGGAGGTGAATTCACATTTCAAGATCTCTACTTGTGTGCGCAGGATACAGCTGATGCAGTATGTCATCTATGGAATTGCGTCCTTTTTCTTCCTGTATGGCATCATTCTGCTGGCAGAAGGCTTTTACACCACAAGCGCCGTGAAGGAGCTGCACGGAGAGTTCAAAACCACTGCCTGTGGCCGGTGTATCAGCGGGATGGTGAGTGGGAGCCTAACCCTCCCCGTGGGCTGTGCCTGCACAAACTGCTCTTGATGGGGCAAAAAAAACGCATGAGCTACTCCTACCAGAGTTCATGATGCAAATATTGGTCTTCCCAGGGTGCGGCTAGCAACATGCAATCCTCCTGTATGATATTCTGATAAGTTAAAACTTATGGCTGGGAGGATCACATCAGACAGTTCCCTTAGTGACATGAAGATAATAAGGGTACTGGAGATTTTCCACACGTAAATTTCCCACTAGAGAAGATCGCTCTCCTTTCTCACTGTTTCCCTTTGTTCGTCTTTGAATGTTAGTGGCCATGAAGACATGCATGTCCTATGTACCATACCAAGCATTAGCTGGACTTTAGTCCCTAAAGGTATGGGAATTAAAGCAGGCTCTTCCCCAGGAGCTTCCAGTCTAAGACAGGGACAGCAAATAGTGGCCTGGGTGTCACATTCGGCCTCCTGTCTCTTTTTAGGTAGCTTAAGATCAAAGGATGAATTTTATGTCTTTAAATGACTGGGAAAAGCCAAGCAAAAATTACAGTTTAACTTGGAATGAACACTGGCAGGTAGCCCTGCCAATCCATTTGCATCTGGTCTCCAGAGGACAACAAGTGTTACAAATAGCTAGCGAGCCAGGTGGTACACACCTGTAATCCCAGCACTGGGGAGGCTGAAGCAGGAGGATTGCAAATTCGAGCCCAACCTGGGCAATTTAATGACTCAGTGAGACTTTGTCTCAAAATAGAAAGTGAAAAAGGGCCTGAGGATGGAGCTCCATATGAAGGCACTTGGTTCAATCCCCAGTACAAAAAAGAAAAGAAGATGCTGCATCACGAAAGGAAAACTGGCAGTGGATTGAACCTAGGGGGAAAGAAGCATGTGTGAGGATTGATTTGGGCCACACAAAATCGAGGGCTCTTTTAAAGACATAATATTTGTTGCTAGGGATGTAGCTCAGCGGTGCAGTGCCTGCCTGGCAAGCGCGAGGCCCTGAGTTTGATTCCCAGTACCAAACATGAGAACAGACAAGACAAGACGTAATAGTTGTCTCTTGAATTGGAGTTGATAACGGCATATTCATGTCAGAATGCCTCACAAGCAGCTGGCTGTGTTGGTGTGGCTTTTGAACGATGGTCAGGTATAAACGAAACATTTTGGGATTCGAGTGAGGCTTGCTTCGACCTTCTGCTAAGAAAGACAAGATGTCACCGCAGGGCCCCGGCTCCTTGGGGTGCCCCAGTGAGTGCCGCTATCAGTGAGGATAGTGCTCAGTGAGCTTCTCTCGGAGCTCCAGGCGAGTCCTCCAGGTCTCCTCCTGCTGCCTGGGGTGGGACCCCATAGTCCAGGCTGGGCCCTGTGACACCATGCGGAGTAAGCTACTCCAGGTAAATGTGAGGATGATGTGGGTGGGTGCGGCCCCAGGCCCAGAAGAGCTGACAGGAGCCGCCCAGCTGCTGCTCCGCCAAGCCCTCCGCTCCTACTGTATTTCCCTATCTGTGGCTACAGGGCAGTAGGGCCACAGAGAGGGAAGGCACTGCTGTGTGGTGTGAGATCGGGAGGGCTTTGTGCTGGGGCGGAGCAAAGGAAGGGGCTTCATGTGACATCTAGGAAAGAGGAACTGGCAGGAGCAGGATAGGAGGCTTGAAAAAGAGGGGGTACTCCAGGGCCACTTGAGTGAGCAGGCTGAAGGGAAAGGTCTGGAGGAGGAGCAGGAGGGGGAAAGCACTGCTTGGGAGGAGAGGCAGAGGCCAGATCAAGCAAGGCCTTGAATTCCAGGCGAGGTGTGAAATTAAGAGACAAGTTGGGGAGTGATGGGATGGGGTACAGCAAGAGCGAGATCTCCAGGCCCTGGAGGCTCAAGTGGGCAACTGTGGAGGTGCGCACTAAGCTCAGGCAAAGAGGGTGGAGGACAGGGGACAGATTCAAAGACTGAAGGGCGGTGGGCTCCAGGCATGGCCGGGGAATGAATGCCAAATCTCTGTCTCGGCCAATGTGCCAAGGGGGCTGCTTGTTACAAGGGTTCGATGTGACACATCAGGGCTGGACACGGCTGTGTTGCATGGAGGCAGAGGTGACTGAAAGTGGCCCATCTAAGAGCAGTGGTTGTGAACAAGACCATGTAGAGGAGGTTTGAGGAAGGAGAGGCCTAGGGCCCAGTGCCATCCACTGGGTAGTCCGAGGAGAAGGGGACCTGAAGGAAACCAAGGAAGATCAGCCAGGGAGGCAGTAAGGCCTTGGAGTGCAAGGAAGGAGCAGCAGCCAGTGGTGCTCCTCAGGTGCCCAGATCACTGCACAGGCTGTGGCCAATGGCACCCGAGGCCGAGATGGCCTCCCCAGGGTCCATGGAAATGTCCAGGTTGCCCGCTATGCCATCCTGATCACTGTGTAGCTCCCTGGGCCCCCGCCAGCCGCCGCTGCCATTTTGAGCCATTTGGCATGATCTCCCACTCTCTTCTGTACCACTGGTCTCCAACAGGGCCTGGCCCAATCCTCAGCCCCCAGCTGAGGACCACCAGTAACATGCGGCTAGGAGTGTCACAATCTGACTGAGGGTAGTGGGGCTGTGACCACTCCTCCTGTTGGGGACCATAGGCCCAGCCTTGCCTGGCCCCTGTTGCTCCTTGGCACCTTTGCCTCCTCCCCGTGCATTGCATAAATGTGTGAACAACAACAGTCCTTGCAGGACAAGTAGTAGTCTCCACGGGGAGCATCACTTCCTGGCATTTCAGACAAACATGTTCCTACCGGGACAAAACCAGGCCCCTCAGTTCTGTGTTGATCTGAACCTCCCTAGTCCCAAATAGGACTCTCCTTGCCCCTTAGCATTTTAAGGTCAGGTTCACAGGACAACGGAGGAGTGGGACCAATGGTGCCAAGCCTTGCTCTCTCCACTCTTTGAGGGTTGGGGGGGTCACACCCAGGAGGTCACTGAGAAGGCAGCTCTGAATGCTGGTGGCCGATGGGACAGGAACAGCCTCCAGTGCTCTCTGCTGGGCACTGGCCTTCTGGAGCGCCAACCACCCAGAAGGGAAGGCTCACCAAGGCCAAGACTCAGCAGCCCCCTTTCAAGGCCTTGTGTTATTAGAAAGACTGCAAAGGTCTTTTGTTTGCTTGTTTTGATGAGGAAATAAAAAGCCACCCTACTCTGGAGCAGCCAGATCTTAAGCACTGAAAGGGGGGGGGTGGCCAATGAAATCTGCTGCTTTGAATATTTGTAGAAATGCAAATGCTTCCAACCCATAAATAGCCTTGAGAGAAAAGGAAAAAGTGCCTTGCTTCTGCAGTTTCCCAGGGTGACCAGGAGGGGGCAACCCATCCGAGACCGGCCACCTCCCACTGTCCAGGTGTCTCTGGCCACCATTAAAAAAAAAAAAGTGAGGTGCAATCCTCAGGTCTCCACCATTAGCTTGAAGAAAGAACAGCCAAACCTGCCCACGCCCTGTGGGTGCATGTTCTGAGAATAGATATACCACATGTTGGAGGCAGACTTTCAAAGCTCTGTGAAAATTGGTAGCCGGGGCCAGTTATGAAGAAAGTCAAGCGCTAGGGTTACATTCTTCCTGCGATCACCCATAGCAACCTGTGGGTGACAGCAAGGAACTTGTCCCTAAGCCACTGCTCTGCTTGTGGGGCGCTTTGAATCTCAGAGATGAAAGAAAATTAGAGGGAAACAAGTGCCAGATCAGGTTCACTGGGCATTCAGCTTGTGTTCTGGACTGTTGGAACTTTTGATAAAGGTTCAAGCATCTAGTGCTTTAGAAATTTCACAGCTCAGGAGACTAGCACGATTGCTCTCAAGAGAAGGCTTCCCATAGCAATTGGTGTACCCACATGTATAAAGGTAAGTTTTGAGATATTAACAGGGTGCTCTGATTCAGGACTTTGCAAAAGAATCTGGACCCTGTCCCGTGTTAGATAGGAGGCAGTTTTGGGAACTGATGTTTAGACAGAGTACCTCTTGGGAAGCTCTGTCATTAATTAGCCCTGTGACCTTGTGTGGATAGTCACCTCTTGGAGTCTCATGTTCTTCATGGTTAAAAACAGGGACCTGAAAGGCCTCCAAGTTCGCTTCTGACATTCCCATTCTGGAATCCTCTATGTGGAGCACAGCCAGCTCTGGCTTCCCTGCACTCCTACTCTGTGCTGGTGTTTCCTTCTTGCTGCCACAACTGGGTGGGGTCTCAGAATGCAGCCTGCATCCCACAGGGTCAGGACTGGGCCCGGAAATGCACAGCCGATACTTCCACTGAGAGATGCACCTGCCTGTTTCAGTGACGATTCTTTCTCCTTCCTTTTGTGTTTGGCCTAGTTCGTCTTCCTCACCTATATGCTTGGCGTGGCCTGGCTGGGTGTGTTTGGTTTCTCGGCAGTGCCCGTGTTCATGTTCTACAACATATGGTCAACTTGTGAAGTCATCAAGTCACCACAGACCAATGGCACCGCGGGTGTGGAGCAGATCTGCGTGGATGTGCGACAATATGGTACTTTCTCTTCTGCCCCTGCCCGGTGACTCTCTATGCTTTTGTGCACATGCCTGGGCCTTGTTTAGTACAGGGGCATCTTTTTAATAGGCTAGACTTGTCTTAGCCATCCTGCCGAGTAGTTTATGCTCTTTCCCTCAATCTGCTCAGTTTTCTGGATGAAAGCACCACTTGGGCTTTTTACTTGCTGGTGGGTATCATTCAAGATTTTGTTATACTTGCGGTATTTTCAAGTGAGGTGTGTAGTTAAAGAAGCTTGTTATAATGCACAACTACTTTATAATGTGATTCAATCAAAAAGACTTCTGGACAGCCACCCTAAAAATATTATGTACTTTACTTTCTTCACTTTATAACTGACTTTTCATATAAAACAATATTGCACACATTATATAACCCAACTAATTTTTGCACATCTGACTCTTTAAATCGAGGTTTTAAATAACCAACTGTTTAAACCCCATCCCCGCTGAAAAATGCAATATATAAAATCCATATGGACCTGAGAGTTCTCAGGATGTAGTCTGTGAAAGCTGCTTTCAGCTGTTGGAAACCAGTTCAAATGGTTTCTCTAGTGAATGGGTTCCTCACAACAGGGGGCTAAGGTTGGTTCCTTGTGACAAGCCACACAAGGGGCCATTGGCTCTGACTGTCAATTAATTTGGGACTCAACTTCCCTGCTGAGTGAGAGAAGGCAGCATCCTAAGGAAGGAGTCTAATTATTGCTTCCGGCCAGGATGGTAGGAAGTCTGTTCTTGGCAGAAACAGGACAGAAAAGGGCTTTCATTAGAATCAAAGAGGAAATAATTGACCTTCCTGAGCTTTTCTGAAGAGAGATGACCATTTCAGTTTTGCTGCTTGTTTTTCTCATGTGGTTTATTCTCAGCATCTTATCTTAACATAATAGGAAGCTCACCAAAAACCACCCAGTGGACTAATCTCTTCTCACAAAGATCTGGGCCTATCTACTTTGTTCTTTGTGATGGATTTAAAGTCAAGACTGAAGTTGGTTGTCAAAGCATGTGTTAAAGAATATATAAAAGTACATCGTTTCCCTAGTCCTTAAAAATAACTATTTTTGCCACAGATTCTGATGATTAATAATCATCTTTTTAAATCATGTGAATTTTCCCAACCAGTTATTCTTGAAATCAGTGGTTTCCCATCCTTCCCATGCATATTTATTCTTGGCCTGGGTCAGGGATGGAGGTAATAAGGTTATGGGCTTTTTTGTTTTTGTTTTTGAAGTACACCTTCCTTACCTGCTGGGAGAAGTGTGAACTGAGCCATGCCGAATATATAAGCGCACACCTTTACATCACAAGGGGGAAAAGAGCATCAGCCCAGCGAGAACTCTCCCTGCAGAAGGGACTCAGAGTTATAGCGACAGACACACCATAGACTGTGCTTCTACCCTCTGGGGGTATAAGACATGACGTTTTTTCTTTTTCTACATTCCCAATTTGATTTTCAAGCCACAAGTGTTTCCAACACAGACATACAAAATATAAATCCAGAATTTATTGGATTCCAATGAACATAAACTACTCTGTCAAACTGCCATGAAAGTGTCTGGGTGTGTGGTGTCAGTTTTGGAACTTACCCGACAGTGGGCCACAGACCCCAGAGCTCACAGCGTGAGGTAATGCTCTATGGGGGCGGACACCCTGCAGTTGTTCAGCTATAGTGTATAAATTAATTCACTGTAGGCAAAATCTAGCATTGAAAATCAATTCTTACAGATATCAACTCAGCTGAAAAAAAGCACAATCTGTGGGGGGAAATACCAAGCTGTTTGAATCTCTCGTGGAATAGTTGACTTTGTTCCTGCCCAAAATGCCAGTTCTGCAGATGGCAGATACCTCAATTGTTGATGAGTAACACAGCCCACAGTTGTGCTGTAACTGACATCCAAAGTGGTGAGGTCTGTAGCTGGATATGGTGGCACACACTTTTAACCCCAGCATTTGGGTGGCTGAGGCAGGAGGATCACAGTGAGTCCATGAGCAGCCTGGGCCACACAGTGGGGAAATAGACTACTAAGTGAGTCCCTGTTTCAAAAGAAAAAAAAAGTGGTGAGGTCTATTAAGAACATGAGATTGAGCTTGGCATGGTAGTACATACCTGTAATCCTAGCACTCTGGGAGGCTAAGGCAGGAGGAGCCCAAGTTTTAGCACAGGTCAGGCAACTTAGTGCCTTGGTGAGAACCTGTTTCAAAATTTAAAAAAAAATTTTAAGGGTGGGGATGTAGCTCAGTATTGCCAAAATAAGTTGATAGATGAGATTAGATAAAATAGATAGCTTGGCTATGGATATAGCTCAGTGGTAGAGCACATGCTTAGCATGCCTGAGTCACCAGGGTTCCATCCCCAGCACCTCCCCCGCCCCATAAAGAACCAAAACAATGAGGCATTAGTCTGTACTGATCTGTTGGGATTCACTTTGCAGGTATCATCCCTTGGAATGCTTTCCCAGGAAAAATCTGTGGCTCCGCCCTGGAGAACATCTGCAACACCAATGAGGTAAACCTACTACAGCTCAGAGGGCTCACACATGCTGCCGGTGCACGTCAGGCTGAGAAAGAGGGCTCTGCTGGCTGGGAAGAGCAAGAGAGATGGTCAGAATGCTATTAAGCAAAGCTCCTTTCAGCAGATGTAACACGTGTTAATTGCACAACTCTGTGGGGTTCGCTGTAACGTTCCCATATGTGTATGCCCACTCTTGTGAAGTCTATGTAACTCACTATTCAAGCACTTTTGACCTACAAATATGGTCGTTTCATATCAGTGAGGGTCCTTCGGCACTGGTGGTGAGCTTTTCCTTTGGGCAATCATTTAAGCGATCTCAGACTTGCAAATCTGAGGATTAATTCACAGAAAAAATTGTTTAAGTTAATTTTTGTAGAGAAGATTCCCCTATATTCGTGCGTATACCAATTTTTAATTAAAGGCCACAGTTAAGTATTATTTCAAGAATGACTAGCCTTCATTTCTATTTTCATTCATCCTTAATTAGCACTATATTGTAACACCTTGGTTTACACTGTCTCAACCCTAGCCTATTCTTCAGTTATGGGCTTCTGTTTATAGGAGCTTGCATAACTAAGAACATACCAACAATGCGCTTTCTAGAAGCAGTGACTTACAAAAACATTCAGCCCTCCCTCTGTGGCTTGTCAGGCTGTACATCCACAGCATAGACTGGCTTGAGTCATGCTGCACGCCACAGTCATCCAGGCCCAGTATAGTGTACGACGGCCAAGGCTTGGCCCCAGCGTTCAAATATCGGTCTGGGGTGCAGCCTCGGCATCAGAATGTTTCTAAAGCTCCCCCCATAATTCTAACCTGCAGCCCAAGCTTGCAGAGCACAGCTGCAAAGAAGGCCATGGACACACTCCAGAACACACGTAGGCCATTTCCTCCCCCCGCCAAAATGCTTACGCTGGCACCCTGTTCTTTCCTAGTTCTACATGTCCTACCACCTGTTCATTGTGGCCTGCGCCGGAGCTGGTGCCACCGTCATTGCCCTGGTGAGTAACCACCCCAGGACCGCCCTAGTCTAGCTCTCCTCATCCCCCAGCCTCTAAATGACAGATTTCCCTTCCAGCTTCTACCAGCCTACAGAAGCAAACAGTCCTGCCACTCAGCCGTGGCTGTCACCTGTGTAAACTTACCGCATGTCTAGTTTGCAGGAAGTACTAGTGGCTCTCTTGGCACAAACTGTAGGCGATGTGATTTGGACTCTGTAGGAAGAAGAAAGTGTTCCTACACCTGTCAGCTAGGCCTAGCATAGTGCCTTGTTGCATTCAGCACATAGTTTCATGACTTCATTCATAGGCAGACGCTCAAAGAAATCTTTGACTTCCAAATGGAAAATGCATGTGTATGTACACTAGACATATATAGTTGACTTCATTATGTATAGTAGCTATGTTCTATAAAGCCACTTCAAATACAAGATAGTGACAACTAGGCAAATACAGGGCAGGGTTCCTGTGAGCCTTTGCTCATAGCACTGTCACCAGCTTGGCCCTACATAACCTGTGCCTTGGTGTACACATCTTCTTTAGCACATATTGCTGGCTCATTACGATTTAATTCATGGTCAACAGCACTGTCACTCAGGTCTGAATGACACTTCTCTAGCACACACATCATAGCCTTCTCCTGAGCCATCACAAAATCAACAAAAATCACAACCAAATGGCACTAAATATCCCTCCAGAAGAACACATTTATAGCCTGAGCACCAGGGTGGCTGAATGCCACCTTGTTCAGCTTCAGCTAGGAGTGTGCGCATGGCATTAGATGACTCAAACCTTCCAAAGCCCTCTGCGTGTCCACTCTCCCCTGAGAAAGTGCCCTGCATAATGGTTTGGTGGTTCCACATTTTAGCAAGTAGGCAAACTTGAGATCTGAAATGAGGAGGACCAACTGTGTGAACACACAGCCATGTGTGTGTAAGTTGACAGGGTGTGGTTTGTGATTTGAAGGAAACCAATTAAGATCTATAAAGCAAGGGGACATCTCAGCTGCTTGGAAATAAAGTCACTCCAGGTTTTTCTAGCCACTAGTTTGTTCCCTCCCATGACAGTCTATGAAGAAAAGCAGCCTATGCAGCCCAGTGGTGACCTGTTCTCTTGGCTGAGCAGTAGGCTGGAAGCAGGCTAATCGCTGCTGAGCAGGCAGTTGGAGAAAGAGGAGAAGAAATAAAAGCCTTGAGCTTCAGTCTTTCCATGCTGCTGACAAGCTCTCCATCTTGTTATTCTTGATACACAGCCCGGGCTTTTTACAAGCTTATTGAGGGCAGAGCCAAGAACTGAGATTGTGTGTGTGTGATGAGGAAACGTTTGTGTGTGTGCTACATGTGAAAAACATCTGTTGTGACTGCAAGTGGGGAGAACCACCATAGACTATGGGCTGACACCTGTCCCTGCCCAAACTTAGAAGTGTCACAACATTGGCCCTCACTGCCTGTATCTTACTATCCTGTTTTGTTCTCTTTCACCAGCTGATCTACATGATGGCTACTACATATAACTATGCGGTTTTGAAGTTTAAGAGTCGGGAAGATTGCTGCACTAAGTTCTAAATTGCATAAGGCCAATAAGGAGCTTTAGAGAGCTCTACTCCTATAGCATGAATATCACTGACACTCCAGACTAAAGCAGAGTCTAAGTTTCTGCAGTTTTGTTACAGTAATTTGTAAACAGCTTCAGTTAACTCATTTTGCATGGTAGAATAAAGTAACTTTACTGTACATGAATTACAAAATAATGAGATCTGCCTATTTCTCCATTTTGGAAAGGATTCAGTTACTGACATTGGTGAGCATCCTTTGACAATAACTTTCTTGAAAGTCTTTGAGCAGAATCTCTAAATGAAGTATTAATGCTTTGGCACACTTGCATTTTGTTATTTTTGCTTGCTTGATCACGAGTTTCAATGATGCAAGAGAAATGTTTTAATTAGGATTTTGTTCTGTCAGACTCTTAATAGAAAATATTTTGCAAATATATTTTAAATTTAAGGTTTTTATGATGGCATGGTTCAGTAGCAAATGTCCCCTTAAAATCAGATGAAAATTTGAAGGGGTGTCACCCATTTCTCTCCAAAAAGGATTTCTATATATACATGTGTGTGTATATATATACATACATATGTATACACACACACACACACACACACACACAATTTTTCCCCCTAACAATCATTTCTTTAGAACCCACCAAATTGGAAACCTTACATTATTGTCTTTTGGTGAGTGGTGACTACTTTCTCATAGCTGGTTCTCAAACTGCATGAATGATTTTAACAGTAAGAGAAATTGGGCGCTGATCTTCAGGTTTCAAATGCATTGAGAAGGAAGTAGGAAATGGAAGGAAATTGAGATGTAGATTTATTTGCAGGAAATATGAGGAAAAATAAATGGGAAAGAAGTTGTGTGCCACACTAACTCTAGAGAACAAGGATTTTTACATTTTGTGAAATAATGGCAGTAATAAAATGAAAACTGTAGTTTCACTACTAAAATTTTGTTAACATAGAGCCTGCATGTTTTACCTATAGTTCTTGATTTTGGTTTTGACATTTTAATTTTTTCCATGTTAAATATGTAGATTTTAAATTATTTACTGGAAATAAACACTGTTCACACTTTTAGGCCTTCGGGGGAATTGATTTTTATCCACAGGCTGAAAAGATCTCTGCGCTGCATTCACTTAGAACAAACATGTTTCTCAACTTCTGCGTTAGTCTTTACAATTACCCTCAAAATGGTAAAAAGCACCCTCTCGTATTTCATTTTTGCTTTTTCTTAACAATAACTTTGGCCATTTCTCCCCAATTTGCTCTACTGGTGTACTAACTTTTCTCCAGCCTTTTAATACGAAGCACACTGTTACAGCATGCTCTCAGCATCTGGCAGCTCCGCGAGCAGAATGAGTAGCTCTGAGTATTAATTCTGCCCCGTCCCAGTCAAGCGCGTCTAATCTGACTAGCAGCTCGCTTTTTGCCTTCTCACGTGCTCACTAGCCATCATGCTCACCCTTCTTTTCCAGATCCACTTCCTCATGATACTGTCTTCTAACTGGGCTTACTTAAAGGATGCAAGCAAAATGCAGGCTTACCAGGATATCAAAGCAAAGGAAGAACAGGAACTGCAAGATATCCAGTCTCGATCAAAAGAACAACTCAATTCTTACACATAAATGTTTGCCACAGTGTTTCAGCCAACGAATTTACAGCTCTGACAAATCATCAGACAGCTGCCCTGCAGTAAAGATGTGTATCCCACCAAACAAACTCATGTAGATGTACCGACATTTCACGGTCTGTCTCAAGCTGCTGGGATGTATCTCTAGGAAAATCTTCCAGTGGGTAAATCTTTTTCTTTAGAACAAACGTGGGAGGTTTCATGTTAGCCATTTTAAAAGGCAACACTTTGACAAAAGATTGTTCATCTGGGCCTGGGATTTAGCTCAGTGTTTCGGCTGCCTGCCTGCAAGTGCAAGGTCTCGAGTTCCATCCCCGGTACCCCCCCCAAAAAAAATTGTTCATCCTTTTGAAATTTGTGGCATGCACCTACTTATTGCTAGAGTGATCCTACCAAGGTAGGTGATGATGCCCTACTTCCTTGGTAGGGACCAGTGACATGCCAACATCTAGGGATGTGACAGTAAATTCACATATGCCATCCATCCTCAAGTAAACATTATCTATATAGGAAAAAAATGGAATTGGTGTGAAGTTCCATTTCTGAAAGCTAACATTAGTCAAACTTTGACACACATCAAAGATAGTGTGATTCTTAAAATTAACTTTTTAAAAAATTAGCACTCCGTCAAGTCTAGATCCATTAATTTCTTGAACCAGTAAGAAATCTATTTTTCAGTAATGCTAAAATGAGCTACAACAACTCTGTTGAACTTACCATTGAAGAATCTGGGTTCTGATTTATTAAGCTTTCCAGAGTCAATTTTGTAATAGACTCCATTTTAATAAAATAATGATCCAGTTATCATCATTCTTCTCTGGAAGTAAATGTCAGCTCTGCCTTAATGAGTATTTATTTGCTTTAAATTTCTAAGAATTTGTATTATAATAGACCCCAAAATCCTTCACAGAATTTTGTTCCATAAATATTTTTAATTAAGAAGTGTTACCTTATTAAAATGACCACCATTCTAAAGCATTTTTAAGTGGTCTGGAAAGTGAGTTTACAGTTTCATACCAGCTATCTAAAACCTAACTACAAACTGACCACAGACCTCTAACCTCCTACTTTTATACACTTGAATACGTAAGTAAATTAGGGCTGGTATTTATTTCTTTTTTGTTTCCTTATCTCAAACTTAGTTTCCTGGATTAATAATGTTTGATGTTCAGCAAGAAAACTGCTTGAGTTTAAGCCATTTTCAAAAGAAACTTGCCTTCTAAATCATTGTGTTGCAGAACATTAAGTGACTGTAGGTACTGGGTATTAGTGATGGTAAACTTTGTGTTGTTCTTTTTGAAATGATCCACATAAATGTTGGGTGCATAAGTGCTTTTCAAAGGGGCTGCATATTATAGGGTTAACTGTGTATATTCATGTTAAAGAGTTAACTTGTGGTTTGGCTGTTTCCTGGATTTCAAAACGTGTACATGTGCAGAAATGTATTCAAATGAAAGGAAGCATACTTTTATCAAGATACTATTAAAATTGAACATCAAGTATAATATTTCATTTGGATTCTTTTTTTTAGTCATGCCTAAAAATGCCTATTTGGATTTGTTTTCTTAATTTGGAGAAGCTCTCTTCTATGTAGAACAGGTATTCCAAAGTAGCTTAGTGTTTTATTTTCCTGTTGCATGACAAACTTAAATATTCTTTCCAGCAGTGGCGGTGCTGTTTAGAGTTCAGTGTTCTAGAAGAACAGTGTTCTAGAAGAACAGTGTTCTAGGCAGTGTCTAAAGCCTAATTTTACTTTTCTAATTCTGGTAGCTATTACCAGGAATTTTCAAAAGTTTTGTTGACGTAGTCTAATATTTTTTATGTAAAGAGCATTAAATTTTGCTATGTATAAATTTTTGTAACCTAACAGTGAATCAATATTTTCTATCAGTGCCAAGGGCTTCTTGTAGTTCTATTCAAGTGTTACAATAAATATTTGTAGATAATAGTCAATACTTGTGTATGCTTATTTTAAAGATCTATTTAGGTGGAAATAGTTGTGGATGTACTAACAGTAATGAAATAAAGCTATAGCTTCATTCGTTTGCCTTTTTACCATACATAAATCCTATCTGTCTCTGTCCTCAGTATGGTGTCATTTTTAAATATGCATAATATTTCACATTTGTGTAGAAATCTAATCTATAAGAGCTAGATGTTTCATTTCTGACAGAAATCTCTCTTCAGCAAGAGCAATTTGAGAAAATATTGTAACTCACTGGGCTGCAGTTTACATAAAATGGAGCACTTTATAGATCTTTGGAAAATACAGGATTTTTCTGACTAGCTTCTCCAATAAATAAAGATCATATACCTACAAAATTAACACAAGGCTCAATCTTTGGTAAAGAAGAAACAACAGGGAACCTTAATAAGGGGCACATATCACTGGCTCATCTTCAAACCTAAAATATAAAAGCCTAGTGAAACATTTATTCGGGAATATAACAGTGACTCGCAGAGCTAAATTTGTTATGTAGGGTTTAATTTTCTAATGTTTTAAAACTACTTATCTGTTGGTGTAATTATGTATTTGGATTTGCTACATATGACCTTTCTTAGTGAGGACCAGCTTTTGTCACTATTGACACAGTGACATTTCTAAATGAGGTGCTGACTCTGGATCATCGCCCTTCACTCACACATGGCGGATAACAGGAGCCCAATTAGCCTGCTATTTGTCACACCGCTTATTACCTTCTGTTTAGTAGCATTTTGTGTAATTATATGTCACACGAATAAACTGTAAATAATGGTTCGGTAAGATCACAAGCAGTCTCTTTAATTGTTGATAGCAATCCTGCTAGCATATTTAGGAACCTCTGGAAGGCAGAGATTTTTTTTCCCAGTGATGCCTTATAAAACTTAGGTTGTAGGAGATGAAAATGAAATCAAGAGTTATAAGGGAGAAGCCTACTTGTTTAAAAACAAGACTTTTAAGTCCATTCACTAAAAAGAACAACCAAAGATTCCACAATAAAGATGCTGTCTCAGTCTATTTCTGCTGCTGTAAGAAAATACCTTAGACTGGGTAATTTATAAAGAAATATATTTCTTACTGTTTTGGAGACCGGGAAGTCCGGGATCAGGACACTGCCAGGTTTGGTGAGGGTTGGGTTGGGTCTTGGCTTCCAAGATGGCACCTTGAGGAATGAGTCTTCACTGTCACCTCAGGGTTTAAGTCCCAGCACGGGAATTTTGGAAGGACACATACATTTAAACCACAGCTAGTGCCAAGAGTACTATTTCTGGAGTCTAGAATGGAAAAATGTGTGTCTACATGCAGAGGGATACCTGAGGGTGCCGGGGAAGATGGGCCTTGTTTTACCCGCAGCAGCCTGACTCCGGGGACAGGGAGTGCACACATCTTACACTTTCCAAATGTAGGCCTGGAGTTTGACCAACAAGGTAAGTTTTCAAATAAGTAGAACCTAAGACAAAAAATGGGGAGGGAAAAAGTTCATTTGAGTGTAATGAATAAGAAAATCTACAGCTGAAGAAGGGATTTCATTTGACTAGGTTATTCTTGGTTCACACACTACAGTATCAAAATCAAAACACACAATACAAATACCACACTGGAGTGTACAGTTTTTATTGAGAATTTCTGTGATGACAAAGAAATATTTTAAAGGACCAGATTCTAGGTAACTTCATTGTTGTAAGAAGCTGGGCAGCTAGCATAATTACCAAATGTCATCTGGTTCTTCAGGAGAAAACCCTGTGAAACTAAAACAAAAATCAGAAATTTTAAAATTCACATTAAGTTTGCTATCTTCACAATACCTTCTCCCCTGTGGGGTCTCTGCCCTCGCTTATACTTGTATCAGGATCAATTTCACACAAGTTAAAATTCACAATAGATCATTTTTTTTTAGAAGTCAGTAATTCTGACTGCACAGTTTCTTAAAGGGAACCTGAAAATTTCCCTCGGCTGACAAAATAAGCAACAATGGTTTGCCTAAGGAACAGTTTGGGGAAACCATACCTTTCATCCTTGTCACTAGATGGCAGTGTATCCACTTGGGAGCTTTCTGGGAGGGTCTTTTTGGGGCTCTGACAATGGGTGAGGAAGGGGTTAGAAGTTAGGCATGATTTAATTTTATAAAACATGGATTTATCAAGAACTATTTTTGAAATATATATGTAATATGAATCTCAAAAAGAACTTTTTAGTGTAAAATTTAGCAAGCAGGTCAAAATAAACTATAATATACATTTTAACATCAAGAATTCAGACTGTCTCACAATGCAATTGTTATTCGGTGACAGATTTCTTTCTTGTTCTTAATAGGAGACACCAGAAACTACATAAACTTTGATAAATAAAAAGCTCTTCAATCTTTTGCCTCAGAAAAATGTATGAGATTTTGTTGAAAGAGTATGACATTTAAAAAGACTCAAGGCTCCCTTTAAACTATGGATTTTCTATGCTTTTAAACCTTTCTGTCTTTAGTTGAGGACACATACCTGCTTGCAGGTGACTCACAGAAGCCCTGGAAAACTCTACCAGCCCCAGAGCACAGGCCTAACCACAGCACATGCACCTTATCTGCATCCTGTTGCTCTTTCTTTTGCTGGATGATTTTCATGTACTTGTCTAAAGGATTTTCACTGGTTGCTGATTTTTCTTTCATTTCTTGAACACTCATTTCTAATTCCTTTTCCATCTCAATCTTCAGTGATTCTTCAATTATCCTCTATTAAAGAGATGGATGACAAAATAGGAAATATTTTCTTTTAAGTTCTTCAGTGTTTAAGAAATACACAGTAATATAATCCTGATCCTTTAGGTACAACCTGCATGCTGGAGAACTACAGATTTCAACTGAAGTCACTGCTGCTATCAAAGGGAGACCAACATGTTATCAAAGAAGGAGGGCACTCAATTGCCTCAGAAATATTCAATGGAAGATTAAGCAAGACTTGATGAGCAACTTAGTGGCCAGAGTAGTCCCCTCTGTCTAGGACCACGACCAGGCTATAGAAGGCAAAATGAGAACCACAAGGAGGAGAAAGGCCCTGGAAGCAGCAGTGGACTGGAGGCCTCAGCCGCCCCTGGCTCTCCTAGGCCCAGCTGGCTGACCTTGGGAGCTTGTTCATTAAATCTCATTTACAAAGGGATGTTCTACACCAAAGCATGGTCTCCTTCCCTCCTCCATGGGCTTGTTTTAAGGACCAAAAGAGTTGCATGCAAAAGCACTTTCCCAATTTGTCCTGTACCGTGACACTCACAGGATGTGTGTGACCCTACGCGGGTGTGCATTCTGCAGCCTTTCTCACTGCAGTACAACCACTTGAGGACAGGGATTCCTTTTTGGTCACCCACCTCTTCTCTGGCTTCAGGGTGCTACTGGCTCACCAACCCGAGCTCAAGATGCTTTGTGAATCGTTTACCCTTTCCTGATCCAGTTTCTCCAGCTCTCTTCGTTCCTTTTCCAGAGTCTCTCTTAGGTCACTCCGCCTATGTTCTTCCTTCTGCCTTTGTTCTTTAACATGCTGTTCCCACTTGTTTTCTTCTTTCTTATGTTCTCCACTTTGTTTCTGATCTGCACCTAACAAGATGGAAAAAAAAAGAGTGAGTAGCTTCCAGCATCAAGTTTTCCACACAAATGCAGGATCAGTTTGCAGGAAGGCCCCACTAGACCTGTCCCTGACTCTGTGGACCTGGCTTAAGCCCCCACCAGCAGCTAAGCACTGCATCACCCCTTTGACTTTCCCAAGATGAATACGAGGCACTTGCCCAGCAGACTCAAGTATCCTCCCTTCATGCTGTGTCTTCGCACCCTCTTCAGCCGTGCCCGCCCTCCTTCAGCCTTTCCACTGAAATGCTGCATTCGATGTCAATCTGCCCCATCTTCAGGACCCTGACAAAGCCAGTGGTCTCACATGGCAGTTTACAGCCCGTTTTTCCTCCCATAAAGATGCTTACGTCTCCTGCCCTCAAAAAGAAGAAAACAAAGCCTCCAACATCCTCCTGTCACCCGTCACGTCACTATTCACTCCCTGTTTCTTTCCTACTGATGCTGGCCCTTACTGGGGTTTCGGTGACCACTGAGCAACAGTCACTCCCACATGTATTTCTCCAGTCCCAAACTCCTACCCGAGCCTTACACCCATGTTTCTAATGAGTTCCCTGTCATCAGCACATGGAAATCTCACAGCACTGGCTTCATTCCTAAACTTATGCCAGTCCTTTAATCATGTTCTTTCTAGGCTGGGCGTGACACATACCTGTAGTACCAGCTACTCAGAAGGATGTGAAGCACTCATGAGCACGTGAATTCCAGGTTAGCTTGGGCAAAGAACCAAACCAACACTCCCTATTCTACCCTTTGTCCATTAGGCAACTAGAGCTTGCAGATTCAACCTTCCAATGCTGCCTTCTCTTGCTTTCCCTGCAGCACTGAATAGCTGAGCCAATGCCCTCCCTGACATAAGGCTCTGCCTTGCAGCAACCATCAACATCAGCCCTCAGCATTTCCGGCAAGGCAGACATGGAAGTACATGCAGTACAGCATCTCTGCTAAGGCAGAGCCCAAACCCACAGCAGTCGGGGATCTGACAACCTGCCTCCTCCCAGGCCGATTGCCCACAATGCCCCCACCTTTGCACCAGAACCAGTCCATGTATTCCAGCCCACTCTGGTCCCTGCTTACAACTCAAGCCCATTCTGTGCCTTGGCCATCTCTGCCTCCTTACCCTGGGGGCTCCCTTGCTCCTGCCTTAGCTACAAAACTGGCCATGCTAGAGTCCCGACTCTCATGCCCCTCCTTTGAGAAACACACACTCCAACACCTGACCTGCAGGGTATCTTGCCCCTGCTTTGTCACCAACCACATGTACTTGCCTCTCCCACTTCTGTCCCTTCTGGGCAAGGCCCATATTTTAATTACTTGACTATTCCCTCGCACTCTTGGCACACGGCCCTATAAGGTTTAATCAAATCTCACCAAAGATGATTAAGCTGGCCTCTCTCTTTCAGCTATGTCCCATATCCTACTTTTTAAAAAACCTAAGCAGTGTCAATGAGCGGAAAACACCATAGGTTCACTAGAGGACTTCCATGCTTTCTGCAGTGCCTTCTCCAGAGTCTTCAAGAAGAAATGAACTAGTTTTACTACTAGGAGAAAGGACCCAGTCTCCTCTCTCTCCAACTTTGTAGTGAAATTAAAATACCAGGGGAGGCCAAGAATCATTTCTACAGGTGGACCTGAAGTGGCCTCCTTGCTGGTGGCTAAAGGTCCTTCCTAAACAGCACTGCTTTCTTTTATGGAACAGCAAGCTAAAAACGGGAATGCTGTTTGGGGTCATTAAAAAGAAGGGCTGCTCTTCTGCTCTGGGGTACAGTATGCTGCACCAGTGGGCTGGCATACAGAGGCTTCTTGGGACACAAGAGCCAAGACAGGCTTTTTTTTTTTTGGTATCAGGGATTGAATTCAGGTCCTTGTACTTACAAGGCAGGCAGTGGAACCTCTGAGCTAAGTCCCCAGCTAAGAGCCAAGATAAATATGGCCATTGGCACCTCAAAGACACCATATTCTGGCCTTTCACTTTCCCTTTATGTCCAGAGGAAGAGGTGAATTGGTAAGAAAATTCCACAGGGACCAAAGCCTAACAGCTGCTTACTAATGATCTCAACAGCCATCACTGTCAACTATATTACCATTCCCAGCTCCCTGCTTCCCACTTGCTCAGGCTGTGCCTGCAGCCACTGCCCTTCAGCTGGGGTAGCAGCTCTATCCTGGGGTCTTGGCAATGGCTTGGGGACCACTTGGCTCCCCACCCCAGATGCTCCGTGAGCAGCAGCTTGGTTTGGTTCCCTGCTGAATGCCCAGCCCCTAGGAGAGTAGCTCACACAGAAGGTTCTTGATCAAGTCTGGCTGATGGGTGCCTTCCAAGCAGATTTTCTGTGGTGTCAGAAAAAGCAACCCTGTGCTTTCAACCTCCATTGCTTCTTCAGTAATTCCTCATGTTCCTGAATGCTGTGACTTAAACCAACAAACGGCTACTAAGAGCCTTTGAGTTCGTTTAGGGCGTGACGCTGAACCCATGTATGGGGCTTTCCTCAAGTAAAGGCTTCAACCCTTTGGTATGAGGAGAAAAGGACCTGGCTGTTGGTGGAGGCCCGATGTCTCCTCAGCTCTGCTCCCCATGGGGGAGCCAAGAAGAAAGACACAGGGGCCACACAGGCAAAGTCTGCCTCCACTGACAAAGTTAGCGGAGTGTTATCAGCTTTTTGGAAGATTGAAATACAAAGTTTGGGTCCTAATTTCTTAAGACATAAGGGAAGCAAACAGAAAGAATATAAAAATGCCGCAATCACATTGAAGCTATGGAATAGGAGTTGACTATTATTGAAGTTTCTCACTATGATTTGCCAAGACCGTAAGGTACCTGTGGAATGCTTCTGTGTTCTGCCAAAGTCTCAGGTGGGCTGTCATGCTCTGAATAGGTTCAGACAAATTTTTAGAAAGCTGCTTTCCTGGAATACTAAACCAGAAGCTTTTCCTCACGAGCTTTTCCAAGCACCGTCTTTATCTGTTCACATGTGCAGTTACTTCACAAATGTCATTAACACAGATAACACTCCAACCCCAAGCCTTTGAATAACTTATGCTCTTAAAAAGCCTGTTAATCCAGAAGTTATTTCTAGAGACAGAAATCAGCATTCAGTCTGTGGCTTTGTTAGCTGCTGGAGTAGAGAAACACACACTTACTTTGGTTGTGATATGCGGGGGGTATGGTGGGCATGGCAGCTACAGCAGAGTCAATGTGAGGCATGTCACCAGCGGGGAGGAGCCCATCCTCTTCAAACTGCCTTGGCCAAGCCTTTGTATCTGCATGAGGTGGAGACAACATGGCCATGAGTCTGTCATGACAGAGGCGAAGGAAGGGGAAATGTGTGTGTGTGGAGGGTCTCATCATGGAGTACGGGAACCCCAGCTGAAGCCACCAGGTGTCATCTCTTCCACGATGCTAAGAGCTTCCCAACCACTTGCCACCATAGTCACTTCTCAAAGTGCTAGTGGTAGGGTTGAGTTTTATTTGTTTTTGTGGTGCTGGGGATGGAACCCAGTCAAAGTGTTTTTATATAACACGTCATGGGACAGTAATGCATGTACCACTGGTGATTCACACCCAAGGGAATGTGACACATTCAAATCAAGAGCCATCCAGCAGCGAGACACATAAATTATGGCCCCATCATGAATGTGTTAAAGGACCAAATGTGTTTACCAAGTTGGATTGTTACCCACTAGGAAAAATCAATCCAACAACAGAAAAATTCACTTGGCTCACTGATAAATCATTTGAATTCAATTTAAATATCAATGATTCAACACACTCCTTTTAAGGAGTGGGTTAAAAAGACTTCATAAAATTTACAAGCTCTCTCATTTAATTTTCCAAAATATGATAAATGATATTTGACAATGAAGTTTACAAAGCTAAATGATTTTATTCAAAAATTTCTCAGACAGGAACAGTGGCTCATGTCTCTAATCTAGCTATTTAAGAGGCTGAGGCAGGAGAATCATCAGCTTGAGGCCCACTTGGGAATTTAGCAAGACCCATCTCAAAAAAAAAAAAAAAAAAAAAATGATTCAACACACTCCTTTTAAGGAGTGGGTTAAAAAGACTTCATAAAATTTACAAGCTCTCTCATTTAATTTTCCAAAATATGATAAATGATATTTGACAATGAAGTTTACAAAGCTAAATGATTTTATTCAAAAATTTCTCAGACAGGAACAGTGGCTCATGTCTCTAATCTAGCTATTTAAGAGGCTGAGGCAGGAGAATCATCAGCTTGAGGCCCACTTGGGAATTTAGCAAGACCCATCTCAACAAAAAAAAAAAAAAAGAGCTGAGGGTGTAGTTCAGTGCTCCCCAGGTTCAATTCCCAGCACCACCTAAAACAAAGATTTTTTTAAGCTAGAAAGAGCCTGAGATGATGGACCCTACATCCTTATTTCACACTTACAAAGTGGGCTACAGGGTGAGACACTCCAGGGCAGGGCCAGAGCCAGGACAGCAGTTTCTGGACTCTGATTTTAAGATTCTGTCACATCCATTCTTTGAATGAGGATGGGATTTTCTAAATCTGAGCAATTAACAGAATGAGTATAGTTTAAATAACATCTCATAGTCCATAAAAAGGAAAAATTACTTAAATCCAAGGTAATCACAAATTTGGTAAATCAGGGATTCATTCATGAGTTTAGCTATAACCCTGAAATTGAGTCATCCTGACATTTTTATAAATGGTTCTCAGACACAACCCTGAAAAATCTCTGTGTCAGAAATATGAGGAAATATACTCTATTTGTGGTCTTACCACAAATGTCCGAATTTGTAACAGCTTTGCTTATACTAATGGCTATACTGTATTTCACTACAACTAAGCTTTTTATATTTTTAACTTATAAAAATCGGTACTTATATTTCAACTTACGTGTAAAAGACGGTTCAAATGCCTCGTTACCTTTGAAAGCTGGCTTGTCCAGATTTGAAAATTCACTTCTGTCTTCAACTTCTGTTTGTTTCTGATAAAGACTACATTGGAAGAAGAATAGTCATGAATGTAAAGTCTTAAGGTACAGCCCCAAAGCAGAGGGTGACAAAAATCCTTTTGTGGCTCAAGAAAATAATCCAGAAAACTCATTTTTCTTTGGTTTATACAGAAAGGCACAGTGGCACTGAGCAGTTGCCAGGCAGCAGGCGCAGTGTCAGAAGTTAATACGTGCTGACTCAGCTAGTCCTGCTCCACCTCAGCCCTGTGCAGACTCCCCTTCTGTCAGCAAAGGAGGTTGCACTCTCGATGCTACTCCTAGGGGCTTAGTTTTCCAATAACCACACATTTTTGAAAAAGATAAACTGTGCATGCCATCAGCACAAACTGGCTGAGGATGCAATATCCTAAGCCTGAGTGTACATCAAAGTGACTTAACCTGTTCTATGTGTGGGTCTTGTTTTACCTCTTGGCTTATTACATATACATACATACATACATGTGTGTGTGTGTGTGTGTGTGTGTG